GAGTCCATCAAACCATCTGCTTGTGTCACTCTTGTGTTGTGCAATCTCGCCGGTGAACAGTCTCAGTAGCAAAGCAATGGGACCACTCAACTTAAACTTCACTGCGATTCGATTCTTGCTCCTCGTTGAAAGTTTCTTTGTGTTGGATGGTGCAATGTGTTCGAGCATGCGATTATAACAATGACAGAGTGCAGACACTCCCAAAAGCCAAATGACAACTAATTGAACACGATCGCCTCCCTCCCATCGGTCGGTCATAGGCCGATCTGTGGATTCGAGTTATTTCGCAAAAACCAAACCTATCCTTGCCGCCATAAGCATCGGAGCTGTTTGTGTTAGCAAGTGTGGGATTGTATGGCGTTTGTGTGTCTCTGCTTTGTCCTTGTGGCGGATGACATTGTCGTCTAGAAAATGCTTGCCCCACTTCTGCCCCAGATGTTGTGGCTACTCATCTCTCCGACTGTGGACTTGACGGAGGCTGTCCTGAGCCTCTGCAACGCTGGCGTCGTGTCGAGATCCGGGCTCACTCAACACCAATGCACGTACTCTGGCACCACCTGCACCGATCAAGGGAGGTCTAACGGTGATGCTGTGTTCGCGTTACATGAGCGTTTCCATTCTGTTGCAGCACTAGGGGAGTGACACGGCTGCAGATCCTCATGCCACCGACAAATTAAGCGGTCACTCTCCTTCATTGTCTTCAGCCACCTTATGGTCTGCTGCTCTGTCTGCAGGTGGTGTTAGAAGTACTTCATCATCGTGTAGATGACAAGCTATTTCCGTTCCACTGCTGGAGTTCTCTCCCATCTATGCTGTTGTAGGAATGGACTCTGCCCGCCGCTACGTGGTCAGAATCCGTGCCCTGCAGGAATGGCGGAGCACTGGAGCCGAAGTTGGCTGAAGACAGTGGTGATGCTGCGCAGAGGGCGTGTTTCGGCTCCTTAGACGCCCCCAAATGTACGGTTTTCCATCGTAACCAGTCGATTCCATTTTTCGCCATCAGCTTGTGCAGTTGACCAACATTTGGACGAGATTTAAGACGAAACTCTGGCGGTGGTTTTTCAGGTTGAGAAAACAGCTGATATCCTGCTTGATCAGTGAGTAACTTGTCTCCCTCCCTTCTCCCCATTCTTTCCACTTCCCGCATTTGCTGGCGAAACGCATCCGGTGTGGCCAAAGACCTCATTGGGTCAACACTGCCAGCCATCACATCCCATCCCACAGTTGTTCATCTTCGAGCCAGGGTGGTCACGACCTAGTGGCGGCATTCACAATCAAAGAAATCGTAGTGGTATGAGAAATAGTGCATGAGTG